TGGGGGGGGTGGGGGCACACGTGAGTCCTTAATTTAATTGTCCTTGCATTTTTAGACCAATAAGAGGAGAAAATGTGGACTTGGGAGTGGAAACTTGATGCAACCATCGTAACTATCGTCGCTGCGGACCCTTCAATCTTTCATCAGCAACAGATGGTTTTGGTGTGCACATCTCACCTTCTATTTTGTTAATCAATTCCAAGGTTAACCTCGTACACTAAATTTTTTCTTTTTTACTTAATGTATTAGGTTAATATAAAGGATTGTTTCTTAAAACTATTGAAAATAAAAAATCATTCCATGCATAATATGGTTATCTATACCATGAAAATATATATATAGAACAGAGGTGTTTAAAAAAATCCACTTATTTATAATATTTATATTATTTAACTTGAATAATTAAGGAATTATTATATGCATATTATAGATGATAACGAGTTAAAAAAATTTAAAAAATAAACATTACTTGTTAGAAAACTCAACTTAGCATATATATCTTATTATAATATACTTAAATATTTGTTGTTGTATGTCTTGTTATTTATTTATTTATATTTTTTCATAATTAATTCTTTAATTTTAGTTAATTGATTTATTTGATATATTAAGTCTAGATTATTTGTTAAAACTTATAACACATTTTAAGCTAATTTATTGGGTGTAAATCTAAGTTATAATTAAATTTAGTTCATAAAAATTAACATTATAAATTTAATATATATATATATATATATATATTGTCGCTACACGATGTCAAGCGACGGCTCTATTCTTTTGTTTATTTAATAAAAAGAAAGATTTTTCAGGTAATTGGGTCATATCTGAAGGAAACAAAGATTTTATTAGAGTCACCATCTTGTAACTTGAGGGAACTAGAAATCCCAAATTAGATACTGGTCCTGGAGATTCAGGTACTAGATTAGTTATCATTAAGAAAAGGTAGACACTATCCTTAAAACATCCTTTCAAGAGAAAGGTTATCCTTACTTGTGTGTTTTTTATTTAATTCAAATGCTATTATATTTTGAACTTATTTGCAATTTGTTTTTTCTAAAGATGGTTAACGTCGGTCCCTAAAAGTAGAAGACGCATAAAAAATGACATCAATCCCTAAAAATAGAAGACTCGTCTAAAATATTGACGTTTGACCCTAAAAAGAAGAGTTACGTCTAGGTTACCAAAAGAAATAATGGACATAATCCATAGTTGGTATTTAAATTATTAACATTGGTCCTTTTTTGTAAATAAAAGAGACGTGTCGACAAACAATATTTATAGGAGATACATCAAAACATAACATCAGTCCCTAAAAAATAGGAGACTTGTCTAAAATATTAATGTTTGTCCCTAAAAAGGAGAATTACATCTGGATTATCAAAAGAAATAATGGATATAATCCATATTTGGCATTTCAATTTTTGATATCGGTCATTTTCTTTAAATAAAAGAGATGTGTTGACAAACAATATTCATTTATAAAACAAAAATTATTTTGATATCGTTAAGAAATAGGTATAACCATACTTGTGAATTGAGATTTGAACCCATGAATAATGACATGATAAAATGGGTGTTGAACCCGCGTTGTTATTCCTTTTATATTTATTTTTGGTTTTTTTTCACATGCAAGAAAAAATTTACAAGTATTTATATATATAAAAATATCAAAAATACCGTTAGGAACCCCAAAAAATTACCTGAGTGCCACTGTATAGATAAAAGACTGAAATACCCTTGAATTTCTCAAAAAATTACAAAAATACCCCTGGTGGCGTATGTAACTTACGTGCGGTTACTGTTGGAGGAGGTGAAATTTCCCAGCGAGATATTCGGCCAAAAAATGGTTGATTCTGGTAGATCTGAGGGAGAGGATTCTGATGAAGGTGGTTTCGACTTCTGTTAATGGTTGATGAGGGAGAATCATTGGTTTGAAGCTTTGGGTGGCCGATGAAAATTGTAGCCTTTTTCCGTCTAGATGAGGCGGAGAGAGAGATGAAAACTGCCTAGGTTTTTCTTCAGAGGAGGCGATTAACCTTTATATGGTGGTTTTGAGGCTTTAAACGACCAAAAATGAAAGATCGAATTAAAGAGAAGCGATCGCCAATGAGAGGAGAGAAAGTATTTGAGATGTTGCTACGGTGTGAACGCAAGTATGGTACATTGGTGCAGCTGAAGGTTATGAATCGTGGTATTTCTAATGAACTGATCCTTCAGCTGTGATTGACTTGACTGATTTTCACTGACTATTTATAGTTAATGAGGAGGAGACGTAAAATCTCAATGACGGTGGCACAATCTACTTTAAGCAAAAATTTCAATGTTATAACTACCTTGCCTACCGTTGGTAAAATTACTCCGTCTGCTATGATAAAAATTTTGTATTATTGATTTTTTTATTATATATAATAATAAATATTTATAGGGATAAAACTAAAAACTCAAATCAGTATTAGAAAAAGCTCATTTCAACCACTAAAAATCAATTTTAATTACCGAAAATTATGTTGGAACACTAAAAAAATCTTTATATTGGTATCAACTAGGTGGACCGGGTTTTTTTAACAAAAATAGCCTGAAACTTATTCTTTTATCCCGGTCAACATGGTGAGACTTATATTAACTCGGTGGACTCGGTTTTGATTGAAAATGATGGTTTTGACCCGAAACGACCTGAAACTTATTTTTTATCCTAGTCAACATGGTGGGACCTATATTGATGTGATGATCTCGATTTTGACCGAAAATGGTGATTTTGACCCGAAACGACTCGAAACTTATTTTTTACCCTGATTGACATGGTTTGACCCATATTGACTTGATGGACTCTATTTTGACTGAAAATGACGGTTTTGATTTAAAACGACTCGAAACTCATTTTTTTAGCCTGGTCGACATGGTTTGACTCATATTGACTCGGTGGAATCGGTTTTCATGGAAAGATGCGGTTGACCTGAGAAAAATATATTTTTAAATTTTAAACTTTTTTCTTAATTTTTTTGATTTATTTATTTATTTATATTTTTTTACAATTAATTCTTTCATTTTAGTTAATTGATTTATTTGATATATTAAATCTAGATTATTTGTTAAAACTTATAGCACATTTTAAGCTAATTTATTGGGTGTAAATCTCAGTTCTAATTAAATTTGGTTCATAAAAATTAGTAATATAAATTTAACTTATATATATATATATGTAAAATATTTAACCTAGCAAGATATATATAACTGGATTGTGTATAAATAAAAATTAAAATAGGTGAAATTTACAAAACATTAAAAATTGTGTTGGCAATATCAAACATACTTCACCGAATTATAGTTATGAACACCGCTAATATAAATGTTGCACTGTATCTATCCTAAGGTACATTAGTTTGGTGATGCTCAATTATGTCGACTACCCCTTGCACATGGCATGTGTCCCAAGTGTATTATAAAATATTAATGAGACGGGAGGGTGCGGGGTAGGAGTTAATTTAATTAAGATAAATACATCTGAGACATGTGAGGCTTTAATTTAATTGTCCAATAAGATGGGGAAATGTTGACTTGGGAGTGGAAGCTTGATGCAAACATCATAAACATGACCCCACAATCTTTCATCAGCAAGAGATGGTTTTGATGTGCGCAGGTCACCTTCCATTTTGTTAATCAATTCAAAGGTTAAGCTAAGGATAGCCGCCGGGGTTCCAGAAATTGATAGTGACATTTATATATATAAAAAATTACTAATTTGGTGATGTTCAATTGTGCTCCATCCACGCCCACACCCAGCACATGGCGTCCGTAGTGGGTCTGGAGTTGTTATTTTTTTTTACATAAAAAATATTAATATTCAAGTGTTAGTTTTATTTTTAAAACTAGATTTAAAAGTCTTCTGTCTACTGTTATAATATTAATTATAATATAAATAGTAATATTTTTAATATTAATAATAATATTAAATTTATCTAATCTAAGTTTTTATAGTTTTTTATCCCATTAAATTAAATTTATAATCTTTTTCAATAATAAAAGTATTTTTTAAAAAAATTATTAATAACCATAATAATAAAATAAAAATAATAAGGATACTATTAATGATTATAAACTTGGATTTGGGGCCACAAATATACCTATGTTTTTGGGATTGACGACGACCATGATAAAATTTATCTGATTTAAGTTTTTATAATTTTTAATTCCTTCAAATTAAATTTATGATTTTTTTAATATTAATATTTTTTTTAAAATTTAATAAAAATAAAAATAATAACAATATTAAAAATAAAAATAACACTAATAATAATAATAATAAAAATAATGATAAGAATAATAAGAACAACAATAATTATAATTATTAATTTTAATCTTTAAATCAAGAGAAATCTAAAGCGTGGTTGCTAAAGAACAGGGTGAAGCAATCGATGCGGGAAAAGATCAGTACTGTTGCTTCCTTCAACTCAAAGTATTGGTGAGTTCAAGAACAAGATGATTTATTGGAGATTCGAAAGGCTTGACGCAGAAAGAGGATAACTTTTTGATGATTTTATTGACCGATCACTTATTTGATTTTCTGATCACCATGACAATATTCCTTTCACTTTAAATAAAATAATTTCTCTCGACAATCAATGCTCTGTGAAGCCCTGATTGGCAAACAAAATGTATAAAGTTCTTCTTTTTTGTTGAAAATAATAAAAAACCATGACCACATGGCATAAGCTTATCTAGCTTATGCAGTAAATTTGGAAAAGAAAGAAATAAAGTTGTATAAAATACATGTAGGAAGGGGGTTTTCAGATATATTTTCAAAGGAATTACATGGATTACCACCCGAGAGAGAAGTAGAAGTTTCAATAGAAATATTTCCTGAAACTACACCAGTAGCTCAAACACCATATTAAATGGCAACTGTAGAATTGATGAAATTAAAATTATAGTTATAAGAATTGCTAGAAAAAAGTATTTATCCGTCATAGTGTTTCATTTTAAGGGGCTCTTGTGCTGTTTGTTAAAAACAAAGATGGATTATTTCGGCTCTGTATATTGTAGACAGCTTAATAAAGTGACTATTAAAAAATAAATTTGTTTGATTAGTTAAAAGGGGTGTATATATTTTCAAAAATAAACTTGAGGTGAGGGTATCATCAAGTGATGATAAAAAAAAATAATATACAGAAAATAGCTTTTAAAACTTACTATGAGTATTATGAGTTTGTGGTGATGCCTTTTGAATTAACTAATGTCCTAGCGATATTTATTGATTTGATGAATTAAGTTTTTCAATCTTATCTAGACAAATTTGTAATAGTGTTTATTGATGATATACTAATATATTTTTCATCACAAATAGACACATGCAAATCACTTGAGAGAAGTGTTAGAAACCTCGAGGAGAAATAAGTTGTATGTAAAGTTGAGTAAGTGTGAATTTTGGCTAAACAAAATAGTATTTTTAGATCATGTGATATCAGAGAAGGGTATCAGTATGGATCCAAAAAAGATAAAAGCAGTATTGGAATAGAAAAGACCTACGAATGTGACTGAAATTCATAGTTTTCTAGCTTAGTTGGGTATTATAGAAGATTTATGGAAGGATTTTTCATGATAGCCTCTCCAATGACTCGGCTAACTCGAAAAAAAGTTAAGTTTGAATGGTCAAAAGAGTGTGAAACAAGTTTTCAAGAGTTAAAATCCAGGCTAGCTACAGCCACACTATTGGCTTTACCAAAAGAACAAGAGGGATTTGTTATGTATAACAATCTTTCCGGTAAGGGTTTGGGTTGTGTACTTATGCAGCATGGATTAGATAGTTAAAACCACATGAGGTGAACTATCCAATACATGGTTAGCCTGTTAAACACAGGATTCATATCATGAAAATCTGATAACTAAATAAAAAAAATTAAAATTAACAAACTAAATCAAATAAAAAATTCATTAAAAGAAAAAAATAAGACTGCTCAGCTTTCGCATTGTGAACTGCAATGTGCAGTCTAAAACCATGTCAAACATGGAATATGTGTCATAAAAGTTTGATAATTAAATAAAATTTTTTTAACATTAACAAACTAAACTAAAAAAATTAATTAAAATGAAAAAAAAAAATTAGGTTAACTCGTCAAACCCGGAATCTATATCATGAAAGTCTGATAACTAAATAAAAAAATCTAACATTAACAAACTAAATTAAACAAAAAAATTCATTAAAAGAAAAAAACTCATTAACCTGTCATATTCGAGATCTGTCTTATGAAAGTCTAATAACTAAATAAAAAATTAATATTAACAAACTAAATTAAATAAAAAAATTCATGAAAATAAGAAAAAACAAAGAAAAAAAAAGAAAAAAACCATAAAAACATGAAGAACAAAAAACCAAAAGAAGAAGAACAACAATTCAGTATAAAAAAAAAATAAAGACAGTAATCTTTGTACCATGGGCTGCTCTGTAAGAGCAGTTTGAGTTAGATATTAATAATGTATATGAGCACCTCTAATATGAAGTTTGTATTGTATCTATCCTAAGGTACATGGCATGTGCCCCCAAGTGTTTTATCTATCATAAATATTAAAGGGGCGTTTGAAAATATAATAGTGGTTGAGATTTAAATGTTTTTTGTCTGAGGTTTCTTGTCGTGGTATTTCTTCGTCTTGCAATGAGACATTGGTTATTTGAAGTGAGGTTGTTCTTGACTGAGAGAGAGAGTGTTTATCTTCGAAGAATGGTAGAAGTTGTTGTCTAGATTTATTGATTTTGA